CCTAAAGGTGTCTATACAGATGCAGATCCAGCTATAATAAATGCAATTAAAAGTATATAGCATAGTACAAAACATCATTTTTGTTTATTTCATATATGAAAAAACCTTAAAAGCATTTCTTTTCCAAGTTTAGCAAAGAAAGTTTAAAGGTTTTTTCAAGCTTTTGCCAATAGCACTACAGAATTAATTTTTGAGAATAAGTAGAAAAAGGTATTGAATCACTATTCTGAAGCACAATATTACTTGATGTGCCAGCTTTATTATTACCGGGAAGCATGAGTCCTTGCTTTTACACATCATTTTTTCAATTGCAGTATACAATCAACACAGAGTTAAGATTTATACATAATACTATACTTAAAAAATCATTAAATAGAGCAAGGTTATTAATAGAGGTAGTTAGTACAATTGAACAATATCTAGCAAGAGAATCTCAATTTGTTAGACTTAATAAAACAATTAAAGAACTACTATATAATATGCTTGTGTTATATAGAGATCATTATTTTAAAGCAATTAATAAAGTTTGTGAAAAGTTTCTTATACCAGCCATATTAAAACTTCATTGTTATCAAATAGATCAATATGTATATTACTGAGCCTATTATACAAATTTAGAAAATGAGTTAAAAATAAAGTAATATATCTTAATGTAGATTTTTTTTTAACTACAGAGAGTTATTTTTTTAACTATATTTTATAATATATTTTAAAGATTTTTGGTTTGATTGTTAATTTATTAACATTTAACCTATTTTTTATTTAGAATATACTAGAAAATATATTTAGTAAAAACTTATATGCTAAAGTACTTGTTGACTAATTGAACTACTTCATGGCATTAATTTAAATAATATTAAAGAACTCTAAATAGTGTCATATCTAGACTATCAAAAACATTATTATAATGTTATTCTTGATGCTGCCAGTCATATGTATACTTGCTTAATACCTATATATCATGAGATAGTTTGCTGCTATTTTTTCACTGTTTTACTAAAAAGTACTATTACACACTTTTATATTGAAATTTTAGCAAAATATTGGTTTGATAATTAAGTAATAAAGCAATTGATAGAAAATATACAATATCAATTTGAAATAAATAAGGATTTAGTATATTTAAAAATATTAAAGTTAACTTCTCTTTAATTGATTCAATATATGTCTTTACTTCTAAAGTACAACAATATTTGAAGAGATGAGCTCTTTATAGTAGAGACTTTGGCCTAATGAAAAACTCTGAATCTGGCAATTAAAACTGGGTATACTAAGGAATTGTTGAATTGTATTAGCAGTTTATTGAAGAAATAGAAAAGCAACTAGAGGCACGGCAAGAACATGTTGGTCAATTAAATAAAGAGAATAATTATTATAATCTAGAAATATACCAAATTTGAAAATCAGGTTCTAGAACAATCTACCTACAAATCTGCAAATTTGATTGGCTGTATTACACTTTTTTACAACATTTTCTTCCAAAAGTTTTACAATATTTTTTATATTTACTTACAACTAAATGATAAATGAATAGTTAGCTTAAAGTACCTATTTTTAATCATTCCAATTAATCCCACATAGTAGGCAAGTCTCAAAAAGGTAAATAAGCCTTAAGACTAGAAACTTCTTGGCATATTGTTAGTTATATTGTACAGGTTGGAATTTTTTTTTAGTAGTTATTGTTACAGATTATAATAAAATCTGATTAAAATAAAACTAGAGACCTTTTTTGCTTATCTTTAAAGTTTATAAAATCTACTTATACTCTTTTATTAATAAAACTAACCTTAAACCCAACTCTAATACTAACTCTAACCCTAAAAAATATCTACCAAAAAATTTTAAAATTTTCTATAAAAATAGAAAAATTTCATTTTAATCTAATTATATTTTAATCTGCCACAGTTATTAAAATCTAAAAAACTTTAAATATTTAGTCAAAATATTTAGTTTAAATAATTACTAAACAATTTTTTGTAGTGACTTTTTTTGGTTAAAGTAAATAAGATATTAAAAACAGGTACAGTCAAATCTCTCTAAATGCACCCTCTATAAGTATACACACTCTCTAAATACACATTCGAGTGCTGGCCCAAATATATACTTGCCCTCTATAAATACATATTTTCTTATTATTCTCTATATACATGTTATAAAAGTGTGGTTTCAAGGGTGTGCACTTAAAGAGGTCTGACTATATTTATTTTATATAGAATTAAGAATCATCAATAATTAAAAATTTTTTATTTATATTTAAAAAAGTTTTAAAAATTTATTAATATTTTAATAACTATATTTAATTTGATTATAATTATATAGATGATGTTCAATAGAATAGGTGAGCAAACTCTGCAAACTCTGCAACTTTACTAAATATCTATTAATGATTATTAATCATTAGGGTGTTTGTTTTTTTTATTGCCCACCTATTCTATAGAATATCCCATATAGATATTAAACTATTTTAAGAAGACAAGGTGTTTAAAATAGATTTAGGTTGAAAACAATATATGGGTGTTATTTTTTAATAATATATATATAGGTAGCATTGTTTAATAATAATATAACAGTATAAATATATAGTAATATTTTTTTTTTTTTTGTGTCAACAGGTCTGGCCATGACTCATCTTATTTATTAATATTTATAGCAATATATATACATAGAAATGTAAAGATAAAAGTCTGGCACTACTCGGTTCCATATTGTAGTGTGAAAACCTAGCTCAGGCCTAAGTTGTGACTCCGTCCTACCAGATTATGGATGACTGGAATTATCCAAAAAAAAATTCTATAAAAAACGAAAGCGAACTATGACTAAAAAGGGGAGATAAACAAAAGAGGAAAAAGGAAAAGAGCGAAGTAAATAAAAAATAAAAAAACCCAAATAAGAAAAAACAGGAAAAGTTAAAAAAAATTTATAGAACAAGGATAAAAAGTTGAGAAGAATTGCATCTCTCTTTCTAACAAAGATACAATTATAACCTGTGCAAGGCTGAAAAAATTATATAACAAATGCAACAATTGTATATCTCTAGTGTAAAGCTTTACCTTAATATTAAAAGTTCTTCCAACTTATGACCACTTTTGAATATCTCTTTAACCAGAGGCCCCGATCTGACTTTTCCAGTGTAGTGCCGTATTTGTAAACAGACATGTCACATGGTTGCATTCTACTGAGTCTGTCTGAATTTGGAAAATAAATAATGCTGATCTTTTGGAGAGGATAAGCCAAATTTCTACTTTTTGTAAAAAATTTTGGAAGACTAACAGGAGGGCAAGAAAAGAAAAGAGAGGAGTCACCAAACTCAAAAGAAAGAGTGTGGCTTTAAAAAAGAAAAAGTTTTGTTGTTTCCCCTGTGTTCTTCTTTGAAGTAACGATCTAGAAACTTTGTTGACAGAGTTGAGCTTTTTGCCTACACTTCACCAAGATTTTATATACAAAGGCGCCTCTTGTATAGTAACGCTTCTGGCTTGAATGCAAATGTCTCTTTAGAGGAGTCCCGCAAAGCAAATAATGTTGACCTCTAGACAAAACGCAACATAGGCACCAACTCTTTAACAAAAAAATTTGTTTTTCTATTAGTGGGAAAATTTGGTTTTAGTAAATGTCAGAAAGAGTTCAAATATATAGTAATATTGGAAGAGTAGTAAAGATTTAGAATATAATTAATATTTGAGTTATTTAATAAAAAAAATATAGCTTTATTAAAAAAGCTTTGCAAATACAAAATAAGTTATTCAAATATTGAGCTTTTTGATCAATTTGGTTGGCTAATATCATGTGCTATCGAATCTAGAATCTTTTGATTAATATCTTTATACTATAAAAGGTGTAATCTTTAATGTCCATTTTGGTATAATAAAACAATCAACAATCCTCCACAATCATAAACAAAAGAACAAAAGCATAATAAATGTATAGCCATATTTAATAGTTCAAGTACTCAGAAGAGAGTATTTAAGAAGACAGCTAATATATAGCATAATATAAAAGCGAGCAGCTTTATCACAAGTAGTAAGTCAATTAATTCAAATAGTATTGATAGACAGAAAACAATTACACAAAATAGAAATTTTGAGAATATATGTGATGAGCAAATTCAATTACTTCAAAACCCAGAGCAAGATTAAAGCAAGTATTTTAAAATCTTATTATTGTTTTTTGCTATGATTAATATATTGTATTAATTAAGCTTATTATTCTAACTATATAATAGAAAATAAAGTTAAAGCTATAGTAAATAAAGAGGTTGTATTACAATCAATTGTTCAAGATAATATATTTTGTTATTTAATACTTTTTTATTAGATTGTTAATTTGTTGTACTTTATATTAGAGAAGAAAAAGTATGCCTATATTTGTGGAAATTGAAGTAAAGCTGGTTATTGCAAGTTTTAGTGCTCTGATAATATGGGCGGCCGTCAATAGAAATCAAGCAAATCTACAAAAATCTAATTTTTGATAATGGCATTTTTTTGTAACATTACACAAATCAGATCATCAAAATAAACAACTCCGACCTTAATTCTGAAACAAGTCGACCCTTAATTCCGAACCTAATTCTGACCCTCAACAAATCATTAAAATTTTTCTCTAAATACATCACTGTACATTACCGTATAGCACTGACTAAAGTATCTCCCCTATATATAATATCCCTTCCCATGCATTTAAAGGTTCTCTCAAAAATATCCGGATATAGCCATTCACACTATGTGCCCGGTACATACATGAATACATATTTTATTAGACCAAAGTACCCCAGTTATACTTTTCGAGTAAAATATCCAACAAAATAGTCTATTAGTAAAATACCCAGGTACTTAAGTCAGTGCTGTATGGTACTCTCACAAATTCATGTTTAAACTATGTACCAAATTTATACTTATATGCAATTTTTTTTTATAGTTCTCTAAGCACATATTGCCAAGAGTTGGTACGAACAGATGCATTTAGGGTATTTACTACATATCCCAACTTTTTGTACGTATTGTACAATGTATATGCCTAATAAGCAAAAAATTCAAGACACGAATTTTATCTGGCTAGCTATTTTTGCAAGAACAAGCCTTGTTAAACAAAAGGAATCACATTCAGTGTTTAAATCCACTGCTTATAGTATCTCTAAGACCCGAGTATTACCCAACCTGTTTCTTGAATAAGACCCGGGTATATTTATATTGATTTACTGCTTTTAATATCAGATATATCCTATGGGTACTATCCAATATTAAAAATAGAATTCGTGAATAAGACCCGGGTACTGTAAGCAATGGCATGTGGTATATGTAATGTATAAATTGAAATTTTATTCTATAAGCAAAATTTTCTCAGAATCTGCAGATTTTATTTTGCCATACATGTCATGCATTTTTTCTTTTTTGTTTGAAAAAATTTAAATTACATTATTTCAAATAAAAATGAGCATGTTGACAAGAGTTAACAGATTGAAAGACAAAGAATGGTCAGGGTTACATGCCATGTGCTACAACCCTGCTCTGAAAACATGGGTCTGGGATTGAAAGAGATATCAGATTTCTGCAAATAAAATGATGTAACTGAAAACTGCCGACCGCAATTAGTATTTAAAGAAGTGACAAATAACTTACTTGCGACACCACTCAACACAACCAAGCATTATAACGTATCTTTTTTTTTCGACCCAACCCTTCCTACCACACGCTGTAGTCTCCTGATTCTGCTATTTTCTATTTAAAAGCCGGTCTGTTTTAAGCAGGTGGGAAACCACTAGCTGATACTGCTTTTCACTCATTTTACGTTACGATGATGCCCGGCGCAATTTCACTTGCTAATTTTACTAGGTGCATTACTCAGCTCAAATTACTTAACAATGTATTCTGCGAACTTAAAGTCCTTTAATTGAATACCTTTGACTTTCCGGCATTGTCCCAATCACATGACTATGCTTTTCGAAACACTTGAATTCTATTTAAAATACCGTAACTTTCCAAAAATAAGTTCACTTTTTTGCTATAAGCTTATTATCATAAAATGGAAATGCTTATTTTTGGAAATCTAAGATAATGGCTATCAAGCTTTTCTACATATTGAAATACATTTGCTTTTATATTTATAACAGAATGCAAAGTTGAGTGCTAAAGACTATTATTTGGATCTTTTTTCTTAAAAAATATAATATTGGTATCAAATTTTTCGCCATCATACAATTATGATACAACTTTTAGATATAGATCAGATCGATTTTAAGGTTATAATGAATTTCCAAAAGCAATGAAGCTATTGGGTATTCTCTTTATTAATATCTTGTTTAATGTTCTCATGACATACTACTTAACCCTAATCTACAGTTACAATAGTTATACAGTGTACAATTTTTTTTTCCTTCTAAGCACTTCTATTCAAAATCTCTAATCATTGTTGTATTATTTATAAACAAAGTACATTTAGGGTGTTCTCAAGCCACTAAATCAATCTGTCGGAATGGGTCTAAAGGCAAATTTTAATTAATAAAAAAATAGGTTAACGAATTGATTGTACTGATTGTTCCAATAAATAAACCACGTTGTAAAATTTAATACATCAAAGAGAAAATTTTCATTACTGGAAGATCGTTTAACCGATCAAGGGTATTTATCATTTCAATCAACAAAAGATGGAGGCCCAGACATCCTTTTTTTTTCACAGAGTTGCCCTTATTGGTCAAAATTTTCCATTGATTTATTAAAAAAAACAATTGTTCAAGTATTTCCCTCTTTACATTATAGATCTTTAAAATCGTTATTAACGTAAACAAATTATTGCCTTATTGCTTATGCTAAAAATCTTAGCCGCAAATCAAACAAGGCAAGATAAAACAACAAGAATGGCTAATCCTTACTGTCTTCTGTCTTTTACTTATATGACAATAAATACAACTATTTCATTAATATAAACAATATTTAATTAATTACTTCATCGTATTCACTATCTGATTTATTAGTCGCTGTGGGACAAATAGCTTGGTTGTAGTAACATGTGAAGGTTCATGAGGTTTGAAAAGGGAGAAATAGGAACCGAAATTACTGGAGTTGATGTTTTATTTTTTTGTTAGTTCGTAGTAATGTCTGAAAAAGGAATAGAACCTGGAACTGTTGTAGATGGTGTTTTATTTTTCTGTTGATTCATCTTTTTCGCTTTTTTGTTTCAATTTTGTAAAATCTAATAATCGCTAATGGCAAAGGTGTTTGTTCAAGCATCAATTTTGATCAATATTCTATTTATTGTAATATTTGAGCATCAACACGATCATAAATTAATCACAATGAGGTAGATATATGAGCATATTTCAATCATATGATCATCCTTATTATCGGTCCTCAACATCCATACTATCGATTCTCAGAAATGGTCTAATTAATAACGCCATAGAGGTTGTGCACTATTACGATCACTAGCTAGTCACATTGAGCGTGCAGCTTGAGAACATCCTTAATATGAATCTATTCAATTTCATATTTTATAGCTTCAAGTTGAAAATTTTTTCACTTAAATTGTTAACAGTATTCGCATGTATTCATCATCGTTAGTTATGTCTTGAGTTAATCCATATATTTTATGCTTATTTTCTTCTAATTGTATATAATTTTTAAAGAAAATTATATATAATGGTGAACACAATTGCATATATATATACATATCTAACCATGTACTGACCATCAAAATTAGATAAGAAATTGCTACTATTTATGAGACTTTTTTGGTTTGGGCTGTTGTGGTTTTGAACAATAAATAACACGTTTAGAGTGGTTTTGAATATGTTGCCTTACTTCATTATATAGGTACCACTGTCATTCTAAGCTCAAGCCAGAAGGAGTTATTTCATCAGGAAATTCATCTTTAATAGGTAGTTCAGTATTTACACGAAGAATATTTACTGTCATTTTGTCACCATTAATTGCTGATTTGACTTCAACTTTTCCTAGAGAGTTATGACTTAATATAAAGTGGTGCTGTCGAAAAATTGATGGAATTTGTGAAAAATAAATATTTAAGAATTTTGTCCATTGATAAAATTTAACCTGCATTGAACCATATGGCCTACAAAGAGTCTGAGCAATGTTAAACCCGCTTAATATAGAATTATTAACGACTTGAACAAGGTCATCTAGATCATCTACTTCTGAATCGCGTAATTTAAGCTTAAAAAGTCCAAAGAATCCATCAGGACTAAATTTGGTATGTCCTGCAACCATAAATGAATAAGTAATTTTTTCATGTAATCTATTTATAATCTGCCAGGCAAGATATTTAACTACTGTATTGTTTTTGTTCTGTCTCGCACAATTATCAGCGTGGATAGTTACGCACTTTTCACCAAGCCCATATAAGCAAAAATAGTTATGTACTAATGAAATCACTGCATTAGCACCTTTTCCTACACTTTAATTTTCAGGAATTAAATAATTTACCTATAAACATATTTTAATATTAAAATAAGTACTTATTTCTCACAAAGGTAGGAATAAAAGGCAAATATCTATTAGCTAGAGACTGAAAAGCCCCTAGATGATTGAAATTTACTGGATTATTCTCTCAAAGCAGGAAATAAGAAATTTATTCTTTGTTTTATATAACGTATAACAGGTTTTTCAACTTAAATAACTTTTTATAACTGTTTTATCATGCTGACTAAAAAAATTAAAACTTTTACCATTAATAATGTTATATCATTGTGCCAACTAAAAAATCGTTTTAAAAACTCATCTATTGTGTGATTGGAAAATTTTAAGACCTTTAAATAATACTATTGTGACAGAAAAACTTCACCCAAATAAAACTATTGTGCAAACTAATAAGATCTGGTATAAAAATTTATCAAAGAATCAAATAATAAGCATGATTAAACACTACAATTACAGTACTGGTTATAAGTTGAAAAACCCGTATCTTGAAATATGAAATACCATAAATAGCTGGATAAAAAACCCGGATCGTCTACATACTGTAATATTTTAAAACCTATAATAGAACCGAATGTGGTATATAGCAAAAGTTTATATGGGCTACTATCAATAGAAATCAAGCAAATTGACATTTTAAAAAAAACAAATGCCTTAACTTTTACTGTTCATATCCTGATGAATTTTGAAGCTATCCTCATTATTTACTAGTTAAAAGAAAGCTTAAGATTCAAGCTTTTTTTTGAATATTAAATCATGAGGATAACTTTGAAATTCATCGAGATATGAGCAGTGAAAGTTAAGGCATTAATTTTTTTTAAAATATCAATTTGCTTGATTTCTATTGACGGTAGCCCATATATATATTAAAAGAAAATTTTTTAGAGTATATATATTTTTCATGCTAACAAACTGCTATGTAGATATTTAAAAAAAAAATATCTCATTCAATTCAGGTCTTTATCCATTTATGGTAACTAATTTAATAATAAAAGTTTAATACTTGTCGTGGAAATGCCTCTTCGTATACACCAAAAATTCCAACTTTAAATAATGACTTAAAATATATAGCTTCCTGTATTTAAAATAAATAAATTAATATAATTTAATAAAGCCAATTCTGGGTCAAAGTGACCCATCACATGACCATACGTCTGAGAATCTTCAAAACTTTGAGTGAAGTTATCTCAGCAACAATCTTACTAAATTCTGTGAAAATTTTTTTATTCGAATTTTATGAATCCATAGAATTCAAATGAAAAAGGTTTATCAGATTTGGTCGGATGGTTGTCGAGATATCTTCACTCAAAGATTCTTAGGCGTATGGTCATATGATGTGTTACTTTGACCCAGGTCATTATATGAAATGAACTTTCCTCTTGTTGCGATGAAAAGGGCAAGTGCACACTCTCAGCAAAATCCCACGAGATGTGGTTTTCTATATCTAGTGAATTTTGAATACCAGGTCGTTGTAAATTATTGCCAAATTTTCTAATTTCTTCTTTTGAAGTCACAATACATTTCTATATACAATAAAATTAGTTTTAAATTAATGTAATTTGTAATTGTTATACACTGGGTGGCATGGTATAAGCAAAAATAAGATTTTCGTTTGTATTTATAGAATTCAGTATATAACTGATTTATACTCTGTGAGTGATCAGGGTAAGAAATATTTATAATTACCGATAATGCTCTCGTTCCAAACTAGCCCAAGAATAATGATTGGACCATTCATTTATTTTATTTAATGTTTCACATGGAGTCCATCGCTTAGCGCTAAATCTCATTTCCTTACATTGTATGCAATGATCACTACGTGCAGTTAAAAACTTGATTCCGGAAAGGTAATGTTTCCAGATTCGGCTAAAGCTTGATTGACTAACTACATAATTATTTTCATCATTAATATCAATTGTATCATTATAGAGACGAAACAATGAGTGATAACTTTCACATGCTGGTAAATATATAATAGGGCATGTATCTTCACGAAAGTGACGACCTGTTTTGGTTATAATTTATTAATATAATTGTTTAGTATATTAGGCTATACAAAATTAATTATTTTAGTTCTTCTAACAATTTTAAAGATGGCCTGGCAATCCAACCCGGCTTTTATTCTCAAAAATTATATATATAAAAGACTTAAAAAATTGTTTACCCGGGTAATAAATATAGTTAAAAACTTTTTTCAAAGTTTTGCAGAATTTGACGCGGCCACATTATGAGACCAATTTATTAAGTTTGTTAATTTTAAATTTTTTTTAAACATTACCGGGTGAAGGAAGACCATGTTGCATAGAAAAATTTTGAATGAATGTTAGTATATGCAATACTGTTTCAAACTTTAAAGCATGATTACTAACACGTCCTTTAAGACCATGAACAATAGGACTTATATTATTTTTTGAATAATGTGTGCGAATTGCTTCCCATTTAGATTTTCCAATTGTATAGATAGTAAGCCAAGAGTTTTGGCAAACTGAAATCCCTTGAAAATTATAATTACTTGTCATATACTGTTTAATTTCTCCACGGTTAGTAGCTGGTCGTACGCTAGCCTCAAAAATTCCTAAAAAAAACATATTTTTTTCTGCTGGTGTCATTAATCTAATCTTACAAAATCTTTTAAGGGCTTCATCATGATTAATAGAAGTATTAAAACAGTTTTTAGGACAACAAGCAGTTTGTTGAATTTTGGTTAGGAACGCTTTGTTGTCTTGTTCAGATATTTTTTTTTTTTTCATCGTATTCATTAAAGTTGTAAATTATATTGGTTTGATATATTTGTTGAAATAATGCAATTTCTTGCTGTGTAAAGCAATCCGACTCAAAACTATCAACATACTCTACTGTGCTATTATTACTCGCTTGATTTTCAATAAAAAATTCTTCTTCATTTACTAATTCATTACTATCCACAGTCATATTATAATGTTCATATAATTTATTAAACTCGTCATTTAAAGTAGTTAATTCAGAATGTGTTTCAATAAAAATACTATCAAAAAGGACATTTTTACTTATATTTTCATTCATAGTTAATAAAATATAGAAATGGAGTATAATGAAAACACGGCTTGATGGCAAATGAATTATTGTATACAGGTTTTTTATTTCATTATTTCTATATTTGTACATTATGCATAAGTCTAATAATACTCTCATATATGCAAGTTATGCCTTGTTTTTACCTATTTTATATATAGTTTTACCTGTACCATCTTTTTCGGACTATTTTACCAACACCCATTTAATCTAAAAGCCCATTTAACCAACATCACGTGGATGACAATATAATATTAATATATATATCGTACATTAGAACAGAATTATTGTGGATTTAGAATCCATTTAGGTTGAAACGGAATTCCAAATGTAGTCCAAGTAGATACGAAATTTGAAAGCAACTTGAGTTGATTCTAAATTTGATACTGTATAATTGATAAATTTAATAGCAACTTAAGTTGATTTTAAATTTGATACTGTAATAAATGTGATACCATAATAAATTGTCAAAATAAAATACAGTCAACTCTCTCTAAACCGAACAAGCTGGCTGAACAGGTTTTGTTCGATATAGAGTGAATTTGGATTGCATATTTGCTCTTTGTATACGATACAAATATAAATGTTCGGTATATAAAATTAGCTAATAATATTATTTTATATAATATATATAGATATAATAAACTTAATAAAAGATCATACTATTATAAAATTACTTG